GTGCTGTCTGCTTTGGCAGGACAAAACACCTCGTGACAACCTGTCTCTTATGCTCTCAGCGAGTAGGGACATAGACTGAACAAGGGAGGTTTGGGGGAGGTACACCCAGCCCTGAAAGAGATGTTAGCAGGATGTTTGAGCAGTCCTGGGCTTACGTAGCGCAGGGCCCTGATCGTGCAAGCTGTGCCATGTGGCCAGGCCTTGTGCAGGGCTCCGCAGCAGCTCTGCAGGGTGGGGGCCCTTCTGAATATAGAGATTGCAGCGAAGGAGCTCGATGACACATGGCTGTTTCTGAGCACAGAAAGGGGGAGGCAGTGGGAGAGATGGGAACCCATCTGCATTACCAGTGTGCTCCCACCGGTCCTGCTGTAGAGGATCCCACATAGAGGCTGGCTGTGCTTTGCTGCTTCTCAGCCTGTGCCCTCAAAAGGGGCAGGATGGGTCCCAGCATGTTTCTTCCAAATCTGCCTCCCTCCCGGCTGCCTCGCTTAGGTGGGAGGGCAGAGGGGCTACAGCCAACACTCAGAAATGCCTGTGTTCTTCCAGCAACTCTCCAGACCCACCTTCTTTGCCCGCAAGTTTGAGTCAACGGTGAATCAGGAGGTGCTAGAGATCCTGGACACACACCTCTATGGCAGCTACCCCCCCAACACGCCAGCCCTGAAGGCGTACTGGGAGAACGTCTACGACCGAGTTGACGGGCTCAGTGGCCTCAGCGATGTCACCCTCACCTTCTACACGGCCTTCTCCAGGCTAGGGCTTCGCAAAGCAGCGGCCACGCTGGCAGCGAAGGCTGACAAGCTCTGCAGGTGGGGTATTTGCCGCGGGCTCGAGCCAGGCTCTGAGTGGTGGCCTGCGTCTCGTGCTGGGAGGATGCTGATGCTCAGATGTGCAACCTCTCCGTCTGTCTGTCTCTCTCCAGATTTGAGCCCCAGGGCTTCCCATCCAGTGTGCACTTATATTTCTATGACGACCGTTTCCAGGGTTACCTGGTGATGCAGGAAGTGCAGAATTTGGCAACTGGGCAGGCAGAGTCCCTGGAGGTGTGGATGATGCCCCAAGGAGCTCTGAAGCTGGCGGGTCATGGAGGGCAGGCAAACCGCTTACAAAACCTTGAGGTAAATGGAAAGAGTTTCCCTCACAATGCCCGCTTTCCCATACCGCACTGCCCTTCCTGCTCTCCCCTGCCTGCACACTGTGGGGACAAAGGGACGTGGTGCCGCTGTCGTGGCTGAGAACAAACCTTTGTCCAGGAGTTTGGCTTCTGTGTGGGGTACGGAGCTGATCAATGGGGCAAAAGCCTGAAGGAGATTATCAGGGGGGAGCTGAGGCTGTGGTGCCCAGTGCCTGCAGCTGCAGGAGGCATCACACAGCTGGATTTGTCCTGGCGTGGGGTGAGCAGGCAGGAGAGCTGTGGAGGGGGGTGTGTGCATTGCTTTGGCCTCCAAAGTCTACGTTGTAATGGGTTCGGGGAGGTGAAATGCAAAACCTGAGCTGATAGCCTCTCCCTGACCAGTGTCGCACTGCCTGTGCCTCTTGTCCCTCCAGGTGGGCACAGAGTGGGACCCCAAGGAAAGGCTGTTCCGCAATTTTGGAGGTTTGATGGGGCCTTTCGACGAGCCGGTGGCCATGCAGAAGTGGTCGCGGGGCCCCAACCTGACGGCCACGGTGGTGTGGATCGACCCCACCTACGTCATTGCTGCCTCCTACGACATCACGGTGGATGCTGAGACAGAGTTCACCCAGTACAAGCCCCCCCTCAATCGGCCCCTGCGCCCTGGCATCTGGACCATCCGCCTCCTCCAGTTTTGGGAGCCCCTGGGGGAGAACCAGTTCCTGGTGGTGCCCCAGACCTTCAACCGCAAGCAGCCTCTCAGGAAAGGTGAGGATGCTCTGGAGTTTGGGGCTGGGGGGGAGGTGTGTGGGGTGTCTCCCTTCTCTCTGTGGGCAGTTCAGGGCGCTTCCCCCTGGTGCTGGCCTCTCCAGGCTGTAGCTGATGATGAGGTGGGAGCCATCCTTCCCACTGGTGTCCCCTTACCCATGTGAGTCCTCAAGCCTGGCCCCTGGGCAGCTGTGGAGGCCCTGTTTGGAGGTCAGGTCCATCCCGAGGTCCTGCAGCAGCACCCCACTCCTTGGGCTGGAGAGGGGGCTGGGGTTGCAACAGGACAGGGTGCTGAGCCCCGCTGAGAGGCCGGCAGTAGGAAGGGCAGGGTGCTGGGACATTGCTGTGCCGCTGATCCCTTCTCTCCTCTCTCCCTGTCCTGCCCAGATGACAGCAACTGGCTGCACGGCGGCCCCCCCCGCAACGAGTACACGGAGCAGAGCTTCCAGGGCCTGGGGGGGATCCTCAACCTGCCGCGCTCCGAGGCAGCGGAGGAGGACGCAGTGCGGAAGGCGCAGCTGACGGGCAAGGCACTGGAGGACTGGGCGGACGGTGCCATCAGCGCCTTCTGGTCTGTGGCAGATGTCTGTGTCAGCAGCCCCTCTGCCTGCGCCTCCCTGGAGACCTGCAGCAAAACCTCCTGGAGCTCCCTCTCTCCGGACCCCAAATCAGAACTGGGGCCCATCAAACCCGACGGGCGGCTGAGGTAGCAGGAGCAGCCGGGGGGGTGGCCTTGGGAGTGAGGAGCACCTTCCGTCACTGGCGGGGGTCTCCGGACTATATCACCCCGTGCGATTTGCACCATTAGTCACGCCAGGAAGAGAGAACAGGAACCCCTGGGTGGGGGAAAACCTTCTCCCACGGGGTGTTTTGGGCGCAGGGGGTGTGGGGTCAGTCGTGCCCACCTCCCCTGGGAGTGGGCACTTGCTGGCCGGGCAGAGCGTGCTGGGGCGCCTGGCACCACAGGGGCAGGGATGGTGCTGGTGGCCAGGAAGGGCTGCACGTTCGTTACTGCAGGCCTGGGAGCCTGGGGAAGGGGTGATGGAACGGGAGGGAAGGCTCTGGCCCAGCTCAGCACCCTGCCCTGCCCTGCGCTGGATTTCTGCAGGATCCAGCCCTGCGCTGCTGGCTGCCCCCCTGGGAGGGCTGGTGAGGGACAGGCAGAAGCAGAATGGGTCGGAGCCTGCCCTGTGCACAGAGCTGCTGCTCGCCCAGGGTTAGCATCTCATCCCCTCCACCCCAGCCCTTTAGTTTGTATTTTTATAAATATATATATATATAAATATATATGATGCAAAGTGCAATAGAGACGAGACCCCGTGTTGGCCGGGAAGTCCTTGTGTCTCCATCTCCCCTCAGACTGTAACGTACCTTGTTCTCTTGGGTGTCCTGGCGCTACAGGACAGGGTGCTGGGTCGTTTACATAATTTTTTTTTTATTATTAGTGGTATCATTATTATTGTTTTGCTGTTTCCCCATGTCCTGCTGGGGAACCGCACCCCCTGCCCCTCGGGCAGGGTTGGTTGTGGGGTGCTGCCCGCTCTCCGAGGCCCCTGCCTGACCGTGCCAAACCTTTGGAGCTGCTGCTGTGCGTTGTGCGACGGCGGCTCGGTTTGAGTCCACCAGGCCGCTGCCAACCCTGCCGCCTCCGTCTCCGCTTCAGCAAAGGGACGTCCCGTTCCCCTGCCAAAATGCCCTCCATGGGGCTGGCGTCCTGCTGCGGGGGAGGCTGCAGCTGGCTCTGCCCCGGGGGCTACCCTGGCCCTCAGCCCAGCCTCTTCTCCTCTCCCGGGTTGGCAGAAGCTCTTGGGATCTGCTGCGCTTCCCTGACCAAAAGGCAAAGAGGCGAGACGAGGTCCAGCCGGCTCCATCCGCTCTCCGCTGTTCCTGCTTCCCCCTCCTCTGGAGGGAAGAGACATGGAGCATCCCCTTTCCCCGCTGTCCTCCCGGGCTTTGGGAGCTGCCTGCGACGTTCCTTTCTCAAAGACCGACGCTGCACGGAGGAGTTTGGCTTGGTTTTCACGCAGGGAAGACGCTTCACGTGTGCCGTGTGGGACTGCAGCTGGGGAAGGGGCACTGCCCCCACGCAGGAGGCAGGGGCAGCAGGAGCCGCTGGCTCAGGGCTTGGCCAGACGGGTTTGCTATCTCCAAAGATCCCCGCCATCCTTCACCTTCCTCTGCCTGCCGGGGCTCCCGGCCTACACGGTTTAAGGATGCTGGTGCTGCAAGAGGCGCATCCCAAAACGGGCTCCTCCTTGCGCTGGAGGGAGACAGAGACCTTGGTGGGCGAGGGCACTGGGTGAGAGGGGCCCCGGCTCAGGGGACGACGCCAAAACTCTGTGTCAGAAACATTATGTCAAGTTGTCTTAAATATGCAACATCACCACAAATATACCCGTATCTGTACCCTGCCGTGTGTTGGGTTTTTGCGGCGTGTACTGGAAGGGGTGGGGGGAGCTGCTGGATTTTGGAGGGGCTTCTCCTCCGCAGGCCGTACGGGTGAGGGTGTCAGTCTGTCCTGCGCATCAGGGCATGGGGTTTGTCCGTTTGGGTGCTGTGCGGTGCAAGCCTGGGCTGTTTTTCCTCAGCCCGGGGCTGGGGCCCGGTTACCATCCG